CGTCCCTGGTCCAGCCTCGGAACCGGGGAGCCCTTCTGCCGGAAAGTTTGGGGCTGGGCGCCATGGCCACGAGCAGCTCTCTGAACGTCCGCGTGGTGGAGGGCCGGGCGCTGCCCGCCAAGGACGTGTGAGTTCTCCGGGGCGCTTCGCGGGGAGGGGCGCTCGGCCGGAGGGCGGGGGCTTCTGGCCCGAGACCGGGGAGAGGCCCGTGCCCGTCGCTGTCCTGGAGGGCGGGGCGCCCAGACTTAGCAGAGGCTCCGCCCCCCGCAGGGGGTGTCTTTGTTGCCGGGAGGCGCCCAGGGGGTCTTCCGGGGCTGGAGAGGGGATTGGAGGGTCCGATTCCGTCAGGGCTGGGGGTGGGGCGGGCGGCTCTTCCCCAGTCCAGGCAGGCGATGGAGGTGAGGGTCTCCAGGCCCGGGCGGGGGCCGGGGAGGAGCCCCTTCCGTGAGCATCTGGGGTTCGGTTTGCAGAGTGTCACCAGGGGCCCCCCGGGGTCCTGTGACTAGAGCCCCGAGCTCCCAGGCTTGTAGCTCCAGGCTGGTGTGGCCCTTCCCTGAGGCTGAACTGCTGGGTGAGCCAGCTTCCCTGCGGCTGCCTCCCCAGCCAGGCGCGATGGGGCTGGGGGCCCTGGCTGTGCTCCACCAGGGCTGAGCCGGCAGCTGCCGGATCAGCAGAATGAGAGGGGGCCCCCTCCTGCTTGGCTCCGGGGGGGCAGTCCCTGAGCCGGCTGTGGGACCCCCGAGAGGGCCTCTGCCCTGTCCTTGAACCTGAGCCTTGGCTTCCCTCGGGGCAGTGGGACCTGTGAGGTCTGCCCTGTGGCCCAGGCGAGCAGGAACCTGGGTGGGACGCCTTCACGCGTGTCAAGGTTGGGGCTTAGCTCAGCGCGAGCTCCCCAGCGGTGGGCTCCCACGGGGAGAATCCTGCCTCTGATTTCACGACCCCCCAAGCCTGCAGCTGTGTCAGGGGCAGCTGTTCACAGCCTTCTTAGCTGCCTCCTCATCAACTGTCCTGCATAAACATGCCCTGTTAGAAAAGTGGGCGGCTTGCTCTGGGAATACAGCGCCTGGACGAGATCCTGTGCCCCCCTTCTGAGATGCCCCCCGAGAGCCCCCGAGGATGAGAGATTCTGCCACTGTCCGGGCCGTAGGGCCTGGCAGCTGGATGGCCAAAGGGGCCCTTCCCAGAAACGGGCTCCTGTCACGCTGAGCTCTGGTACCTCCACCTGTCCTAGGGGTCCTAGGGAGTGGGGTGAGGCCCCGGCCCGGATGCTGGCTCGAAGGGCTTCTTCCTCCTCTCCTGAGGAGGGGGTTGAGACATACTTGGTCCCTGTGTCCCTTGGCCACCTTCCCCCTCCCCATTCCCAGGCCAAGGTGAGCTGTGAGCTGGGCCATGCCCAGAGCAAGGGTAGGGGGGAGCCATGAGGTCCACCTGGGGATCCAGCCCCTCTGCCTCAGTTTCCATAGCTGTCGGCACCCTTCTTCAGAGGGGATCTTCCCGGGGCATGCTGGGATCTCCGTGCCCCGGAGGGGCTCTAGGGCAGGGTGTGTTCTCTTTCCCCTCTCCTGAGGGAAGGGTTCGGACTCTGCCTGAAGCATTGCCAGGCCTGAGGGGGTCCGTTCTGGCCCAGGAGGAGGCCTCAGCAGGCACTTTGAGAGTTATTACTATTATTAACGGCATCTGTCAGTCACTAAGGGTCTAGTATGGACCGGGTCCTGTGCTGAACACTACATATGGTCCTAGGGGCATCTCTATTTTATAAATTGTGAAACTGAGGACCAGAGAGGAAAAGACACTTGCCTAAGCTCACACAGCTAGGATTTGAACCCTGACTCCGTCCATGCACAAACCAGGCTGGGCAACTATAGCTGAGGGGCCTGCTTTCCCACGTGTGGGTGGAGGCAGGGGCCGTGGGAGAGGCCAAGAGTCTGGAGAGATCAAGGGTCTGGAAGGGGCCACCGGTGCCCCTACGTGATAGGAACCTGATAAGGCCCTTGTGCGTCAGAGCCCTGGCGCTGACGACTGCTGGGCTCGGCTCCCATGAGGGGCCTTGGGGTCAGGCCAGGTCGACAGGAGGGGCGTGTCTCCCAGCCCTTGCTAGTGGGATCTTGGCCCATCTAACCCCGTATCTGCCGCCGGGGAAACTGAGGAATGAGAGCCCGTGGAAAGAAGCTCAGGGATAGAGAACAAGCCAGGGAGAGAAACTGAGACATGAGGCATTAGCCAGCCACAGGTGTCTGAGAGTGGAGCCCAGGCAGGGAAACTGAAGCTCCCAGGCTTACCCAGGTCTGAGGTGGAGCCAGAAGGGGAAACTGAGGCCTGAGGCACTACACAGAAGGGGCTTCAGTGGTAGAACCCGGAGAGGATGGAGGAAACACAGGCCACCCCCAGGGCTAGAAACCAGACAGGGAAAGGGAGGCACTGGAACATCCAGCCAGGGGGGCTAAGGGAAGGGGTCCAGAGAGGGAAACTGAGGCACAGGGAGGGGCTTATCCAGCCAGGCAGGGCTCACTTTGGAGCTGACTCTTGGTGCTGATGTCACTCTTTCTGGAGCCCCTGGGGCATTTGTGGATCTGTGGCAGGCTGAACAGAGGGGGTGGCGGTGTTGGTTAAGAGCATGGGCACAAGGCCCATAAACCTGCGTTCGAATCCTACTCGGCCATCTCTCCTCCAGAGAGGAGTGGGGGAGGCGATGAGGGCCCTGCCAGGTGGCTTGGGACTCATGGGTGACTGTTACCCTGAAGGGGAAATGAGCCATCTTTGGTTGACCAATGGCTGCTCAGGGGGGTTTAGTGCTTTTGTTTTTTGTGTTTTTTTTGAGTTGGAAAAACACTGTCTCCCAGACTGGAGTGCAGTGGCACGCTCCCGGCCACCGCGGCCTCAACCTGCTGGGCTCTGGCGATCCTTCTGCCTCAGCCTTCCAACTACAGGCATGCACTACCACGCCTGGCTACTTTTTGATTTATTGTAGAGATGAGGTCTCGCCAAGTTGCCCGGGCGGGTCTCGAACCCGCGGGCTCAGGCAATCCACTCGCCTTGGCCTCCCAAAGTGCTGGGATTACAGGCTGAGCCACCGGGCCCAGCCAAGTGCATTTCTTATTTATTCACTTTTGCAGTCTGGGTCCCCTGGTCTGTGCTGAGGCCTATCCCCTCCATGGCTAAGGAAAGGGGAGCCCCCTCCCCAGGGAAACCCACTGAAGTGAAAGCCAGGAAGGCTCTGCTTCCCCCAGCGGGCAGTGCCCAGGCCCTATGGAGAGCGCTGGGGTAGGGGGTGGCACATGCTAATGTTATGTCCGATTTACAGAGCAGGGAAACTGAGGCCCAGAGAGGGGAGGGGCCTTGCCAGATTGCACCACTAGGGGGTTGGTGAAGACACCCCGGCTCACACCCTTGACCACTGCCTTGGGCTTTTTGGGCCAGGACTCTGAACTTCCTGGCCTCCTGTCTGTCTGGTCCATGTCTGCCGGCGGACCATGGTGCAGCTGTGGGTCAGGCATGCGATGGGTGGTGGCCTGGGCTGCCGTGGCGTCTCCCACAGGTGCCCCGAGGCCCTGCCTCTTGGCTGGACTTGCTGTGTGGCCCTGGGCAAGTCCTCTCCCCTCTCTGGGCCTCAGCCCCTTCATCTGTATAGGGAAGGTGGGTTAGGGCCCCCCACCCGTGGCTGACCCCTCCCTCTGGTTCCTGCCCTGCCTTCCTCCTCCTGCAGGTCTGGGAGCAGTGACCCCTACTGCCTGGTGAAGGTGGACGATGAGGTGGTGGCCAGGTGAGGCGTGGAGACCCCGGGCTGGGGCGAGGGGAGCAAGAAGGCTCTTTCTAGACCTGGGGGGTCCGGGAACAAGAATGCACTTTAAAGGGGGAACCAGGGAGGGCAGTGCTTATCCCAGGGGGACGCTTTACCACTGGAACCTCGAGCTCCTCTTCCAGTCCAACCCCACCAAGCAGCCGGACGCCCTCCCGCTCTGGACCCGGTGCCTCCCTGCCGGCTCCCGGGGGCTGACTCAGCGCCACCAGTCTGTGCCTCCCACCGCGGCCTCCCTGGGGGCGGGCATCTCACGCTCGGCTGGACGGGCTGGTTCCGGGCCTGCTGGTGCTGTGGGTGCGGGTGTGCGTGCATGCGTCTGTGTGCCGCCCAGCTGGCCCTGCCTGTGAGTGCGCGGGGGCTGGGGGTGTTGCAGGCTCGTGCAGGAGCCTGTGCCCACGTGTGTGTCCTTGTGGGTGTGCGGGTCACAGGCTCACACATGTGTTCCGGCGTGGTGCGTGCGTACATGCGTGTGCACACGGCTGCCCTGACACACATGTGAGCACCAGTCCTGCCTGTTTGGGTGATGCCTGGTGCCTGTGGGCGAGCAAATCTTGGGGGGGGGTGGCACAGCTCTCAGCCCCTGCAGGCCCGAGGGGGTGGGTGGCGGCCGACTGAGGCCTGGGTTCCTATGGAGACGGCGGGATTCAGCACGCTCCAGTGCCAGTCCTGGTCCAGATGGGCCGGAGGTGCGGGGGGGAGCCCGCCTGGGGGAGAGGTCGCCCCAGCTCTCACCCCACTGCTCCCCTCCAAGGTTCTTCCCGAGCTCCTGCTGTCTCCTGGCCTCATGCGGTTCTACCCCAAGCCCACAGATTGACTGTGCGACCCCAGGCTGTTGTCTCTCCCTCTCTGGGCCGTGGGGAGCCTTCCAGCTCAGGGGCCTCTAGCCGGGAAAAGGCCGAGGTGGGGGGTGTTTTGCCGGTTCTTCTGGAGGTGACACCCCGGGGCTGGGGGAGAGGGCAGTGTGCGTGTGTGTGTGTGTGTGTGTGTGTGTGTGTGTGTATGTCTGGGCTGGTCTTGGTCCCTGCGCCTCCTGGGGTCCCCCTTCCTTACTGTGACTGCAGCGCTCCGAGTGCTCTGTTGCCTGCTGACCCCCTCATCTCCTGGCCTCTCCCCTGCCTCCCGTCTCACTGGGCACCTTCTTGTTCCTGGAACTCACCAAACTCATTCCTGCCTTAGGGCCTTTGCACATGCTGTTCCAGCCTTCTGGAATACTTGTCCTCATTGTCTCTCTCCCTTTGCCTGACTAGCTCTTCTCTGATCCTCCTACCCCTAGACCCCTTCAGGCACCCTTGGGCTGTCCCCAGTCCCAGGAGTTCTCCCTCATGTCCCAAGAGCCCGGGAGAGAGCTCCTGCCTGTGGAGGAGGCTCGTGGGAGCAGTGGCCCTGGTGCTGCGTCCTCCGATTCCCGAGAGCTGGGCGTGGTTCCCCCATCCTGGCAAGTGTTTGAGGAGTGGAACTGTGTGTGTCGGTGACCATGTGCTCGTGTGACTCCCGGTGTGTGGGTCTCCGTATTGCCGTGCGTGTGTGTGCTTGTGTGTGTGGGCATGTGAGTGTGTGTCTGGACCTGGGTCATGCACATATCTAGGTTCGAGAGGCGTGTGTGTCTGGGCCCCTACTCTGCTCGTGGGAGTCTCTGAGTGTGTGTGTTGAGATCTCTTGTGTGTCCAGGTGTGTGTGTGTGTGTGTGTGTGTCTGGGCGAGTGCGTACCTAGGTTCTAGGGGTGTGTGCGTCTGGGCCCCTACTGGGCTCTGGGGGTCTCTGAGTGTGTGTCTGGATGCCCGCGTGTGTGTGCGGTCCCCGGGTGCACACCCCGCGCGGCCGAGGCCTCACCCCTGCGCCCTCTCCGCAGGACAGCGACCGTCTGGAGGAGCCTGAGCCCCTTCTGGGGGGAGGAGTACACGGTGCACCTGCCCCTGGACTTCCACCACGTGGCCTTCTACGTGCTGGACGAGGACACCGTGGGGTGTGTGCCCGGACCGAGCCCGGGGGAGGCGGGACGGGGCCGCGCCCCCAGCCGAGCGCCCCGCGCCCAGCCCGCGGGCGGGGTCCCCGCCGGGTCGCTGACCGCCGCCTCTCCGCAGGCACGACGACGTCATCGGCAAGATCTGGCTGAGCCGGGAGGCCATCACGGCCGACCCCCGAGGTGGGCGCGGGACGCCGGCCCGCCGGGCGGGGGCAGCCCAGGGCGGGGGCAGCCCAGGGCGCGGCTCGGACGGGTGGAAGGGGGCCGCCGGCTGTGCAAGGTCGGTCCTGCTGTTCTGCCTTTCGTCCAGAGCGGGCCATTGTTTTGCCCAACCCCGTCTTCAGAGATTACAATCAGCAGGGGGCCTTGCCCACCCAGCAGCTCCTCAGGGTTGTCAGCCTCGTGTCCCTCCTGCTATAGATACGTATGTCATTTTTTTTTTGAGTCAGGGTCTCACTCTGTTGCCCAGGCTGGAGTGCAGTGGCACGCTCATGGCCACCACAGCCTCGCCCTACTGGGCTCAGGCGATCCTTCCACCTCAGCCGTCCAAGTAGCTGGAACTACAGGCGTGTGCCCAGCTAAGTTTTTGAATTATTGTAGAGACAAGGTAAAGGCAGCAAGTTGCCCCGTCTGGTCTTGAACCTGTGGGCTCAGGCAATTCTCTCACCACTGCCTCCCAAAGTGCAGGGATTACAGGCGTGAGCCACCGTGTCCAGTGATACATATGTCAATTAAAAAATTTTTCAGATACAGGGTCTCATTTCATCAGGCTGGAGTGCAGTGGTGCGACCGTAGTTCATGGCAGCCTCCAACTCCTGGGCTCTAGGGATCCTCCCACCTTAGCCTCTGGAGTAGCTGGAACTACAGATGTGTGACACTATTCCTGGTTCTTTTCTTTCTTTCTTTTTTTTTTGAGTCTGGGTCTCATTTTGTCACCCAGGCTGGAGTGCAGTGGCATGTTCATGGCACACAGCAGCCTCAACCTCTTCAGCTCAGGCGATCCTTCCACCTCAGCCTTCAGAGTAGCTGGGACTACAGGTGTGCACTACATACTCAGCTAATTTTTTGATTTTTTTTGTGGAGACGAGGTCTCACTGAAACTCGGGCTCAGGCGTTCCTCCCGCCTCAGCTTCTCATAGTGCTGGGATTACAGGCATGAGCCACTGCACCTGGCATGCCTGGTTAAGTTAAAAAAAATTTTTTTTGTAGAGATGGAGTCTTGCTAATGTTGCCCAGGCTGGTCTCAAACTCCTGGCCTCAAGTGATCCTCCCACTTTGGCCTCCCAAAGTACTGGGATTATAGGCTTGAGCCACCACACCCAGCCAAAATTTTGAACATACAAGCAAGCGACAATGGTAAAAGCAGTAAACACTTATGGAGTGCTTACTGTATGCTGAACACTTCAAGTGCTTTACATGTATTGATTCATTTCTCATAATAATCCTGTGCAGTAGGCACTCTTATTATGCCCATGTCAGAGGTGGATACACTGAGGCCCAGAGGGGAAATGACCTGCCCGGGATCACACAGTTATGAAGTGAGGTGGCCAGGATATGGACCAAGGTTGTCTAGTTCCAGAGCCCGTGGGGTCAATACTGCCCTCGCTGTTTTTTCTCTGCTTACACACGTAGCGGCCTCTGACCTCTGTGCTTCCCTGGCCCTCCACCTTGCCGGGTATCTTTGCGATCTTTCCATCTCAGTGCTCGAGAGCTTCCGTGTACTTTTGCTCTGTGTGACCTGGTGATACTCCATCGTGTGGACATACCATGGTTTATTTGGCTGGTTCCCTACAGAGGGCATCTGGGTTCGTCACAGCCGTTCCCTACATCCAACAACGCTGCCGTGAATGGCCTTGAAAGACATGATTTCACACACAGGCAGGTCGGATCAGTTAGAGAAATGAGAGGCAGATTTGCTGGATCAGAGCACCCGTATGTACAACTGTATGTCTAAGTTGCAGCTGAATTACCCTCCCTGGGGGAGGTGACAGTGTCCTCACCCATGCCCTTGGAAACAATGACCAGACTTTTTGGTCTTGTATCTGATAGGTTAAAAAAAAAAATCGCCTCTTAGTGTAGGTTTATTTTGTCCTTCTCTATGAGACTGAAAACCTTTTTTATATACAGTATTTAAGAATTGCATTATTTCCTCTTCTGTTTATTGCCTATTAATATTATACATGCATTCTCCCCCACTGGGTGGTTTGCCTTTTCTTATTGATTTGTAGGAGCTCTTTATATGTTAGGGAAATTAACTCTTCATCCTATTAGCTGCAAATATTCTTCTCTCTTATGTCTCTTTTTTATTTTATTTTATTTTTGAGTTCGAGTCTCACTCTGTCACCCAGACTGGAGTGCAGTGTCCACTCCTGGCCACTGCAGCCTCAACCTGCTGGGCTCCAGCGATCCTTCCGCCTCAGCCTTCCAAGTAGCCAGAATTACAGGCATGCGCTACCACGCCCAGCTGATTTTTTGATTTATTGTAGAGATGAGGTCTCGCCACCCAGGCGGGTCTCAAACCCGCGTGCTCAGGCAATCCACTCACCTCAGCCTCCCAAAGGCACGGGATTACAGGCTGAGCCACCGAGCCCGGCGGCCTGAGCTTTTAAATTGAGCATGGGAATCACAGTATTCCTTCAGTGAGCAGAGTGGGTTTTTAAGATGAACTCTTCTAAAGTTTTGTTCTTTTCTTGGTATCTAACGCCATTAATCAAAAATATTCCATAGTGTTTTGAACACTTACAGGCTCATGAGATTTAAGTTTGGTGTGCTCTCGGAGGTGGTCAAGTCCAGGGCCTGAGGTTTGCTGATACAGTGCCCAAGGCAAGCCAAAGGGGAGCCCTGAAATTAGCCTTGGCTGATGATTTTTAAGTTGACCTCTGTACCTAGGACTTGTAGGCCCTCCGAACTTGGGCAGCCCTACTGCTGGCTGGAGGGTGGCCGGGAGGTTCTGCAACAGGAAGTATAGTTTGGAGTGTGGGTCCCAGCTCCCTGTGTGGGTGGCCCACCTTGGACCTGCTGCTTCACTCCTCCTGAGCTTTAGTTCCTGGCCCTGAGAGGGAGGCAGCAAATGCCCACCTAGGGAAGGGAGCGTGGGAGAGCCTCTGAGCTGGGCCTCTCTGGGGGGTAGGCTGCCCCTGGGATGCTCTAGGGAATGCTTGGGTGGGCACAGGTGGGCATAGGCCCCATGAGAGCCCCGTTGTTTGGCCCTGAGCCAGCTGTCCCAGTGCTCACTGCCTGTTTTTCTTATCATTCCAGCCGCTCAGTTGGGAAAGAAGGTAGCCGTGGTGGACTATGTGGAACCTTCTCCCCAAGGTAGGCAGACCCAACGGGAGCTGGACATCCTGGGGAGGGAGGTGGTATACTGGGGAGGTGGTATACTGGGGAGGGAGGCGGGAGGTGGGCCCAGTTTGTGTATAGAGGGTGGTCAACACCAAAGTCCTTCATCTCCTGCCGTCTATAGTCTTGGAATGATGTCCTGTTTCACATGTCATTACTTTAAAGGTCTTCATTGGGCTGGATGTGGTGGTTCCCACCTGTATCCCAATACTTTGGGAGGCCGAGGTGGGAGGATTACTTGAGGCTAGGAGTTCAAAACTAACCTGGGCAATGTAGCAAACCTGTTCTGTAATTTTTTTTTTTTAATTAGCCAGGTGTGGTGGTACACACCTGTAGTCCCAGCTACTCAGCTACTCAAGAGGCTGAGGTGGGAAGCTTGCTTGAGCCCAGGAGATTGAAGCTGCAGGGAGCTATGATAGTGCCATTGTACTCCAGCCTGTGCTACA